CATTACTCCTGGTAGTTCTAATTGTCCAGACCGAGCCATTGTACAGCCATTTGGAGGGTGGGCAACAGGCCCTGCTAAAGTCTGTCCAAATCTTCCTTATAAGCTCCCCTTAAGTACTAAAAGGTCTCCTCCCAGCCTTCTCTTTTCCAGGCTGAACAACCCAAACTCTCTCAGCCTCTCCTCTTAGTAGAAGTGTTCCATCCCTCTGATGATTTTTGTGGTCCTCCTCTGGACCTGCTCCAGCAGGTCTATGTCTTTTGTGTGCTGGGGACTTGTGTGCTGTTTATGATCATGTTCATGAGCTAAGCTGCTAGAAGGCAAAACTGTCTTGTCAGCAAACTGACTACTTTTGTTTTGTTTATTTTTTTGGTACAGATACTAGCTCCAGCACAGGGCATGGAGTGTAAAGCTAACGTCCTGTGCTCAGTCTCTCTTATTTGCTATGGCAGCGACTCATGGATGATAGAACATAGTCCAGGACAACAGCATCACAAAGATTATATTTTTCCACCTTCTCTTTAATAGGCCTTCTGAAAGTTTTATGCTGAGTAGTATCTCTGCTTTGACTATACCCACATGTTATGCATGTGGTCAAAATGGAGAAAGATGAAGAAATTAAATTTCTTCTCTTGTTACTACTAGCTTCTCATGGATGTGGGCAGGGCTGCTGCTCCTTTAAACTTCCATCTTCTCTGTGTTTGTGGACAGCTCCTGCTCTTGCCCACACTCAAATTCCACATATACCAAAATGTGCAAGGGCTAGAAGTATGTGGTGTCACATCAACTAGAAATTCTGGTGCCATCACTGAGGTCTAACTAGATCTCTCCTGAGTCATCTCAGGAACATTGTCAGTAGGAATAGAGGATGAGTGAGGTTTAAGAACAAGATATTTGCTGTCTCCTGAGGAGGATGAACACCAGGACCTAGTTCTAGACCTGTTTCTGCAGGATCATTACTCCAGCCCTAACTATGGATCACTGTAGGAGTATGATGAATGCTCTTGGATCTCCAGAGAGGATCATCAAAGAAGAAAATGTGTAGTGAGAGTAATTTGTCAGTACTGTTTCAGAGTAAGGCATGCCCCTAGAAAGGTGACTGATACAACAATGGAGTGATCTCTATAAAATGTTAATTCAGTAAATGAGTTGTTTCAGAATTGTGGACACTTCTGAAAATACACGTGCAGCATTTGTTCTCTCTTGACTGCTGTTCTTTCATCCACACTGTTGTGCAAGTGGAAAGTGGTGTCTGTCACCATGGTGCAGATTGCAGCAGGTTATGGTGTACAGACTGTGGAGCTGTTTGGGCAGAATTAACTACATCTACGCACTATACTAAAGTACCTTTGTTGCTCTTGCAGTGAGCTGACCTTGGAGACAAAAAACAGCCATGCTTCTGTGCTGCTGTACATTTACACCAGTATGCCCAGCTTCCAAATGGCCATACAATGGCTCTGTCTGGACAAATGGAAGCAGTGCATGTGGATAAGCTGTCTACTGGGCTGAGCTAACAGACTTTTTCAATAAGCTGGAGGCTGGAGAATGTACAATAGAGATATCAGAATATCTGGAGCTGTCCTGGTTCCATTGGACTCTGAAGGGCAAATCCTGGTCACCTGTGGCTACAAAACTTTATGGGTTTCCCCCCCCTTATCTAAAAGGTCTGAATGATGAGGATGTTTTCTGCTGTTCCTATGCCCCCTCCATACCATGATTGTGCATAATGAAGAGGTCGCTATAGATTACATTTTATGCCCATTGTTATATATTAGTCCTGACCCAGTGATTTTTTGGGAAGCAATGGTCTCTGGCCATATAGAACCTCACTGTTTTTATAATGGAAATGTGCTCAGGAAGACTAAAATGGAAGCAATTCAGGAAAGAACAGCATGATGAAAATCTGCTCAGATGCCTTGTAGTGTGAAATTCTAGCAGTCTTGAGAGTGGAGAATACTTGAGGTGTCTGTTTATTTGTTGTAGTGCAGTGTGTGGGAAGCTAAGATGGTCTTCATTGCATGGCTGTGACAGACTCGATAGACCTTTGTGGTTCCTGGTTCAGCACTGCACAGCAGCCCTGCCTCTGCTTCTCTGTTGCCTTTGGGATGTGCAGGTGGCTGATGTCTGGTTTGCACAGCACCTGCAGGCACTTCTCACAGCAGCCTCACAGGGTTGTCCAGGTTTTTCAACTCTAAGTGCTCTATCTTGCCTTACTACCATTCCTTCAGCTAACTGAAAAATGAGATCAATATTTACGTTGACACACTTTTTTGTCAGCATGTTTTATATAAACTACAGTTATCAGGACCACTTAATCCAAGACTAAATGTGTCTCACTGAAGAGTGTTTGTCCTCAAGTTTTGAAAGGGTCAGCATTTTGCATGTGAAGCACTCCTGAACCAAGAGGTCTCTGGCAGGCTGCTCCACCAGCAGGCCTTCCAGCCTCCAGTGAGCCTGGCAGCCCCACCTCTCAGCCTCCCCCAGGTTCCTCCATGCCATGGAAACGGGAAAGGTTTATCAGTATTAATGATAAACAGACACAGTACTGTGGTTTAACTAGTATGCAAAAATTTACTCTTGGAGAGGAGTTAATCATGTGTTGAATTTAATATTAAACCCTAGCAAGTTACTTAATAGCTGTTACCTGTGGTAAATGCAACCCACCTGCATTGCTGCTTGCAGACACGGTTGCTGCTGGTTGGCAGTTACTGCTCTGAAACATCTTCAATGTAATCTGCAGTCCTTGTTAGCTGCCACAAAAAGAATTAGGTCAGAAACTTCTGTTGTTCTTGAACTACAATATAAAGCATCACTTAGTCATTTTTCCATCCCATTAAAACTTTTTTTTTTCCCTTTTCAAACTGGCCTCAGTTTGACCAAGCTGAAGAACAGGTTTGCTTGTTTTACATTTCTTCTTCTCTTCTGGTGACTGCAGTAGCTTACCTTTACCAACTGTATGACTGAAAATTTAAGGTGGCTTGATTTATTAAAGGCTTTTTTTTCTGGGTTTTGGACATATGCCCCTAAACAGGTCATTAAGCTAGTTAAAACTGTATTTCTGTAAGAGATTTTCTGACCAGGTCATTATATCAAGTTATTCTTTAGAGTGGATATCCCAGCACATTGTGTGGTTAAAAAAAAAAAAAAAAAAAGGTACCAGTCTAGGTACTAGACAACAATTTCTAGCATGTTAGCATTTCTAGTGTAAAAACAGTAATTTCAAAACCTGCAAACCCAAGGACAAAATCAAAACAGTAAAACAAAGAACCCTGGGCTTTCTGGAGAGTTTTATCAAAAGCTTTGACTGACTTTAGACAGACATGAGCTTTTAGTAGAGCTTTCCCACCACTTAGAAAACATCTCTCTTGCCTGAATACTCTGCATGGTAATTTTTGCACTCTTGTCCTCACAAGATTAAGAATTGAGAATATCTCTTTCTCATTATCTTTTACAGCACTTGTCTAATCTTTATTGTCTCTAACCTCTGCCAAGCTGGGCTGAAGTGGGCCAACAAGCTCAAAAGTTGTTGGAATGGTTGCAGAGCATGACCACATGAACCTGCTCCCCTAAGTAGTGCTTCATCTCTCTGAACTTCTACAAGCTTCTCAGGATACACTTTCCTAAAAATCCTTCCCTGCATTCTGCACTCAGTACCTGCCTGCCACTGCTTGCAAGGTTACATGAAGTTACCTGTATTGCCCTCGTGTTTATTCATAGTATATACAGCTACATAGATGCAAATCTTTATACACAGATTTTATTGCATTGGTGTCATACTGTGACAGTCAGATGAAATTTACTTTTCTAGCCATGAAATGGGCCTATCAAACTTACAAGGACACACTGCGTAACCTCAGGGTTCGGAATGAGTGACTTGTCCTGCAGCCTTATCTGTGAAAGCTGTAATTATTGAGAAATGCAGAGTATGAGTTAAAGGGGGGAGGAAATGCACAGTTTGGGTAGAAGCCATAAAAGACTGGAAAAAATTGATGTGCAAATTAATACTGGAAGTGAGAAGTGTGGGTTTGTAAAGAAGAGACCTGAAGCAATGAATAGCACCTAGAAGATAAACTCTGTATTTTCTGTGTTGTTTTTTTTTTTTTTTTTTTTTTTTTTTTTTTTTTTTTTTTTTTTTTTTTTTAAAGGAAATGTGAACAGCCAGCAGGCCCAAAGATCAGTAAACTGGTCCTGGCCTGACACAAGTTGGACCTGGCAAGCCCAGCCCATGTCTCTGATGCTCTATTGTGGTATTTGTGAGGTCACCTGAAGCTGTTGTATGATTTACCTGGGACTCTCATGCCTAGTTTTAATATGTGCCTTGTAAACAGGCTAATGAATGGGAACAGAGAAACATTTCCTGTGTCTTACAAATTCCTGATAATATTACTGACTTCCCAGTCATGTTACTGTGTCCAAAGAGTTATATGTGTTGTAAGCACTGGTGATGAACACTCAAATATTTAGGACTTTTTTTTAATGCTGCATTTGTCATTTAGCCACAGAACAAAATCTGATGAGCCTCTGGTTCAGTCCTCTTTCTTCTGCCAGTATATCTGAAGCAACAGTGAGGAAAGGGCCACAAGAAGGCAGTTGTAGCCCTTTTGAGGAAAGTAGCATCTGTAGTCGGCAAAATAAAATAGGAAATTAAAAACTTGACAGAAGGTTCTTCCTAGAGCTTACATCTGGTGGGTTTTGGCATAGCAATACTCAATGCTGTGAAGGCACGTGATGCCACATATTGACTGTCAGGGTAATTTTTTTTAATCCGTCTCTCTCTCTATATAGATATCTCTCAATATCAATCACAATTGGACGTCATGCTGGAAGTAGGAGTGGAGCCCATACATTAGTAAAGCTTACACTGTAGTGGCAACCCTACTTTGCAATCACCGTTTTATAAAACTAAGGCCACAGACATAGTGTGATAAAAATAGAGAGTCACAGTGGTGATTGTTTATCTAACTGATCTAATGCAGTTTTTCTCTACATTTTTCACTTTAGCCAAGTATCCAGAGATCAAGACTCTGATGGGACCAGATCCACATTTAAAGTGGATTGTATCTGGAATGGTTTTTGTGCAGTTTCTAGCGTGCTACCTGGTGAAAGACTTAACGTGGAAATGGATTTTCTTCTGGGGTTATGCTTTTGGGGGTTGCATCAACCACTCGCTGACCCTAGCCATCCATGACATTTCACACAACGTTGCCTTTGGGAACAAGCAGGCCAAGTGGAACCGATGGTTTGCAGTCTTTGCCAACTTGCCAATTGGCATCCCTTATTCTGCCTCCTTCAAGAAATACCACATTGACCATCATCGGTACCTTGGTGGGGACAGCCTGGATGTGGACATTCCTACAGACTTTGAAGGCTGGTTCTTCTGTACACCACTCCGGAAGCTGCTTTGGCTTTTCCTCCAACCTCTGTTCTACAGTCTGAGACCATTGTATGTGAACCCCAAAGCAATTACACGGATGGAAATTTTTAATGCTCTTGTCCAGTTTTCTATAGACCTTATAATTTACTTCCTTTGGGGGCTCAAACCTATTATTTACTTAATAGCAGGTACAATTCTTTGCATGGGCGTACATCCCATTTCTGGTCACTTCATAGCAGAACACTACATGTTCTTAAAAGGGTATGAGACATACTCTTACTACGGACCTCTGAACTGGCTCACCTTTAATGTAGGCTACCACATGGAGCATCATGACTTCCCCAGCATTCCTGGATGCAGATTGCCAATGGTAAGTATTCCAGCAACATGAATGAACTTTGGTTTTGTTTTTTTTTTTTTTTTTTCCTCTTTTAAAAATTGATCCATGGCTACTATTTGAAGTGATTTCTTTGAGACAGTTTAGCACCTTTTAAAACAAAACAAAAAAAAAAAACAACAAAAAAAACCCTCCACAAACAAAAGAAATAAACATGACAAAAACAAACAAAGAGACCAGTCAGCCTCACCACCATCCCTGGAAAAATGATGGAGTGGCTCATTCTGGGGTTCTGGAGGTTATCTCTAAGCACTTGAAAGAGAAGAAAGTTATTGGGACTAGTCAGCATGGGTTAACCAATGGAAAAATCATGCTTGACTAATCTGAT